TATTGGTTGCTATACATTAAAGCTAAAGTTTTGATTTTATGATAATTATCTAAAACTAATGTTTCCTTCAAAGAACTTATTTCTACATTAACGACAAAAGTTCTTCACCATGTCTCCATAGCTCATGGAAATGCATTTTAGCCTGATTCGCCCCTCTCGGCCACTGCGGTTTTTCTTGTTCTGTTTTTAATTTGTTTTTCTCTCTTAGCTACTGTGTTTTTTTCTAGTTTTGTTTCTCACCTTTATTTTTCCATCTTTCATTGTCAACTTTTCGTTTTATATTTCAAATCACTTTTGTTTCTTCTCATTCACGTTTGGCAAAAGCCTTGAAAATGGGCGTCTGTTTTTGAGGTCTTCAATACTTGTCTATATAAATATATATTTTTGAAGCGAATGAAATTTTAGATCAGATAAAAATATTTCCTTCTTTAGATACTGTGAACATTGCTTAAAATGTATAGTTTTTAGAAAATCAGAACTATACTAAACTTAATAAAATAAATAAAAAACGGGGAGATTGATTTAATGTTATTATATTTTTGTATGATTGAGAAAATCAGTTATTTCTTTCATTTTATTACATTCAAACCAAATTATGAATAGTTTATACATAGTTTAAGATACTTTCAATTCTAGAAATTATTCTTAATTCTAGTATTTTTTTAAAATTTGATTTATGAAAAAGCAATGCTTAAAGCTAAGTTAAAAACTATTCCTTTTAGTTAAAAAAGATGCGTTTCAAAATTAGCTAAATTTGAAAATAATTATCAGTTTTGAAATGTGGCGTTAATTTTGAAAGTGGAATAAATTCATTAGGAAAGTGGTTAAAGGTCCAGGCTTTTAAGGGTTAGTGTTTGAATGAATTTAAAAATATTGGCAAAGGTTAATCAATTTGGGCAATGATTTATCTCTATAATTTTTTGACTCTAGATTTTAATGAAACATGAAAATGCAACAATGATAATTAAAATTATGAAAAAATAATAAATTAACGACTTTTTAGCTGCAAATGGACTTATTCCACTTTCAAAAATAACTGTTCGAATATTCGTATTGTAAAAGTTTCCTAAAACTGCTATAAATAATTTAATTCTTATCTCTGCTATAATTTATTCAACAGGAAAGGAAAATTTTAAAAACACTTAAAACTCTAAATTATTTGATGAAATTTGAGCTTATCCCAGTAAAAAAAATAAATAAAAAATTTGCCCCAGATGAAGACTCAGAAAAGAACAAAGGTTATTACTCTTTTGCACCGGATTTCGCTCTCATCTCGAACTTGTTTTTCTTACTGACCTTAATATATATATTTCTATGCATGCTTTTCCATTATATAGATTTGTTCATGCATTCATTTCTCTGCATTGCAACAGAAAATTGACTTCCTTTTGTGAGTGATATGTTTAAAAACTAAAAGGAAAAAAAATCGTTTGGTTTTATAATTAATGGTGCAAGTGATTGATTATCGAACTGAATATCTTAAAAAGCTAGTTTCATTTCTTTTTATAATCAGTAATTCCGGTTGTAAATTTTAATTTTATTTAATTTTACAAAATTTTTCCGAATAATTAGATATGCATTCAAAGTACTAGAACGTATTTCCGAAATAAAAGGAAAACACTGTTTGTTTTTATAATTAACGGTGCAGACGATTGACTATCGAACTGTAATCTAAAGTGCTATCTTAATTTTTTCGCTACCAAACAATTTTACTGATTATTATTTTATGCAAATAAGTATATAGTAAAAGAATTATTTCATCCTTTCTTTATACATATTTGATTTTTTTCTCCTGCCCAAGTGGGGCAGAAAGCTACTCCTTGTAAATTTGTATTTTTTTTATACACTTTATTAATATATATAAATTTCGCTCGCAATGCTTTTCTTTGTATAGAGTTACGACACAAAAATGTTGTATTTATTTTATTTACTGTATCGTAGTTAAAACCATTTTTTAAAATTGAAATTTGAAATTGTGACTTGGGGTTACAACATAATAATAATAAAATCAAAACTAACTTTCAAAACAGTTCTACGAAAAAATTAGCCAATAATGATCATATGAGACGAACCTAATCTGAACTGAAGCTACTCATTTGTTCCCTTCACCTGGGGAAGTAGTATTTAAAAAAAAACAAAAAAAAAAAAACGCCTATCTTACAATAGACCTATCGCACAAACAAATTGGCTTTCATATTTCACGAAGAAAAGAGACAATTGAAGCTCCTCATTAACTAAATCCATGAATATGAGTAGTCTCTACTCATATTCATGGATTTAGTTAATGAGGAGCTTCAATTTTCATCATGCCCATCTAACAGAGCTGTTTGCTGCTCTCGTGTACGATTGGGTACTTGCAACTTGAGAAGAAGTGAAGTAATGACGCCTTTGCCCACCCATGTGATTTAAATCAGATTTAATTGGGTTATAAGCTACGCCACGCGTGTGTTGAACTTGATTGGCTTCTGAAACGACAAATGCTACGCTTTACCTACGATGACGTCACTCGCAGGTCTCCAATTTCCCAAGAGCAATTTCGAAAGCTGCTTTACTGAATCACAAAAAGTAAACATGTTTCTCCGTAGCTTTATGGTAAAAAAATAAAAATTTTTTCTGCACTCTTACTATTTGTGGTAAATCGGAAGTTGAAAAAAAATCACTCTCATATTTCCTATTTCTAACTTACTTTTTTTTCTTTTTTCATGAAATATTTTATTTAATCTAGAATAGTAATAGGGAATGAAACAGTAATTTTTAAACTTCTTTTTACATCATCAAATATGTAGACATAGCAAGTTATAGAAAAAGACTTAAGATAAAGATTGTAGAAAATAGGTTATTACGATGCAAGTTTCTTGCAAACCCAATTTTAACTATGCAATTCCATTTCGAATAGAAACCATTTTAAAGTAGTCATAGAAAGGGCATTAAAATTCAAACATGCTCGCTGAACTTTAATAAGATTTTAGAATTTATAAACCTACATGAAAATAACAAAAATTTAATGTATTTTTTGAGAAGGTTGAGGCCATATTTAATTTGCCAAAGGGTATTAGTAAAGAGAGACATACTTGCCAACGTTTATTTTAATGGATCTCGTTTCTTTTCTTTTTACCTTTTGAAAGCTTTCTATGGAAAAAACATATCTGGTTCTATCAAGTCACAAATTATGAAATATAAAATGTATTTGTTAGCATTTTGTGATACAAGACAAGTAATATTGAAAGAAGGAAACTTTCCATTTACAGGAACACACAGTTACAGTTATTATTAAACAGTATTTAAAAATTTGTGTTGTTTTCTGCGAGAATTATTTCTGACTTTATAAATTAAAATAAAACAAATTTGGATTTAGCTGCTTTCAGCTCTTTTCTATTTTGATTTATTATTACTTTGGATGGTTGGTTGGTTCTAATGCCACTTGCCATACTAGCAAGCCAGCCTGGTGAAACCGAGCAGATTTAAGGCAGAGGGAGCGCTTCTAGTTTTTCAGTGGCGCCATCTATAACCAAGAATTCGACTTCTGCCACATCATACGTCACACCTGTTTATAAGGTGAACCCATTCATTCATCCACAGATCGTAATTTTGACCTGAATTAGAGAACGATCGATCTCTAACCCAGTAGGGGAGAGTGGGGTCAATTGTAACAGGGTACGATTGTAACAGAGCAAAAATTTCGAGTGTCGGGTTCTAGATTTGGTTCCTAGGTGGCGCACAAGGTGTATTTAATAAATCTACATGTACACCCCTGATGGCAACCATTTTTATGTACTTTTGAAAGAGTTACATCACAAAAGATATTTTCACGCCACGCAAGTACTTTTTTTGGTATTAGAATATTATATTGTAACAAAGTAATTTTGTTTAAACAAATAAAAATTAGTAACCGAATATGTAAGTGGACACCTTAATTAACATTTCAATAAAAAAAAAAAGATTAGTTTTGTTAATTAACTAGCATTGTTTTTAACAAATGAAGCTGAAATGGCGTCTTGGGGACAATTGTAACAATAAGTAAAGGGACGATTGTAACAGCTGAAAATAAATAATCTTATGTTTACAAACCATTACTTAACTCTTTAAGTACCACCAATAGTTTCCTATATCATTTATATTATGTTGCATGTGCATTATTTTATTTGACACCTTTCACAGCATAAATTAAAATGTTTAACCCATTAAAGTTAAAAGTTTAACCCTTTAGGTCTCTGTTCATTATTATTTTTACTCCTGAAATATCACTACTATTTTGATCAATAAAAAAATCTATCACAACTATGATAATATGTATAATTGTTTTAGTTGAATTTATGAACTGTTACAATTGACCCCGTAAGTGGGGACAATTGTAACAACTGCACGACTGTCAAAAATTGTTAATAACTAATATAATAATATTTAAAATCAGGTATTTATTTTTTTTTCTAGTAGAGGATAGTCTACTTTACTCGTCTGTCAATTAATACTAATAATATATTGGATTTTTTGTTAGTTAAAAATAGTTAAGTAAAAAATGTTACAATTGACCCCACTCTCCCCTACCCCCAGAGGTTTTGATTTGTTATAGGAACATGGAGGACTTTGCGACTCGACAGAATTTTTACGTGCATCAGTCACCAACTACACGGGGAGTCTTCAGCCGGCGGGGATCGAACCCACGAACTTTCGGTCATGGACGCAGCGTCCTATTAAAGTTCGCATGTTACGTACAAATTTTTTTTCCCTCTGCAAATTTTAATAGTCTAAGATTGCTATATATGAGATAATTTTGAAATAAAATAGTTCCATGCTATGTAGGAATAAGCACAATATTTTACTTTTTTTGAAACTACATATTCTGTAACAAACTTATTGAATTATTTAATACAAAGAAATATGTTTGCCAGAATTGAGTCCAGAACAATAGACAACTAAAAATTAATGCATAAATGGATTGGCAAATAATCATTTTGCTCCTTTATAATTATGATAAACTAATATATATTTTTCTTTCACAGAATTCCATGCCTGCAGGATTGTTGGATTATTTTCCTGAAGCTAAAGGCGATGGACTCCGAGTGACGTGGGCTCGTGGCACAAACAGCAAACAACGACTAGCCAATGGACTTAGAAGTAAAAGCTTATAAGAATAATTAAAAAAAAAATGCTATTAAAAATTTGCATTTAGCTCGAAAATTGAAATAACTTTTAAGTGAAGTCCTGAAGGCTTCATTTGAATAGTCCTATACAACTAATTAAGAATAAATATATGGAGTTAATGTTTCTTTCCTGTTCATACAAGTCATTTATATCTTACAAGCCACTGGCGGTGACTAGTTGGTCCGAATATACGAACTCAACGCTTCGCAGTTTCACTTTGTCCTTCCCCTGCCAGAACTCACAGCTTCGCGGATCTCCGCTTGTTTCTGCTGCCCTCGACAGTGTTGTTCTAAATACTCGGCATTCGTATTTTAAGTGTGAATCAAAAAATTAGAATTCTTTCTCTGACTCGCTGCGTTCATCAGTAGGCCTAACCAACTACTACGGCTATTCTTGGCCATAGATGGCGCCACTGGAAAACAAGAACAATCGCACCCCCTCTGCCTAAACAGGCATACGTCAACAGCAACAACTACTACTGCATTAATTCATTCATCCATATGACAAGTACTTATTGCGGGTCAAATCTAGTCAATAATGTAGTTTAAGACAAAGAATATCGAGGCATCTTGCATCTTTTGATATAGTTTTAGTTCATCTATAAATAAAATAAATATAAAAACAATATGACTTATCTGATTTTTGATGTCAGTTGTTGAACAATTTTGGGTTTGAAGCAGATATTTGAACCTTTTTATCTTCTTTCAAAATCGTCTTTCGTGTAATTTCCCATCGGAATTGAGGTTTGTAATTCTCACCAAGAGTTAAAACTTTACATATACCTTACTTTGAGTGATTTATACAAATATCTTAAGTAGTATTTTTTTAAAAAATATTAACTTAAAAGTTTAAAAAACTTCTTTACGTGTGAATTGCTTTGACCTTATCATTGTAACTGATATCGAAAAGTAACCCTGTGCAGCAACCTGAAGCAATGAAAGATGGCTAAAAAATGGTTTTCGTTTACCAACTCTGTCAATTAAAATTTTTTTTTTAGATAATACGTTTAAACAGTGTTTCTTAACTAAGAAACGCGAAGTTCACCAAAAAAAAAAATATTTGCACATTAATGTTTAGCACGAGATTAAAGTAGTACCCCAAAATTAAGAACTTAAAGATACTATTATTGTTTTAGTGAAATAATATTTGCTGGGAACCTGGAGAAGAATGTTTTTAATTAGAGATGAAATTAACAAAACATTACATGTTGGTGATAAAATATTATCTTTAATGTTAATATTTCATCACAAACAACTTAATGTGCGCTTTTTAATAAATACATAATATTTTTGAAGAAAATAAGGTTATTTATATAGATCAATGTTCATTTTCATATAAAATTAATTTACTTAAATATGAGGGAAAATTAAAATACGAGGGAAAATTATTATTATGTGAAACAAATTTATTACATACTTAAATTATTGTGTTACATTTTTTTAAAAGAAGAAACCTCCAGATAATCTGAAACATAACTATTTATCTCTGAATCCATTTTCCGCAAACTGCAACATTAATTTTCTTGTCCGTTACGATTTCCGAGATTAATGCATGAGATAAAATCTAAACAAGAAACTGTGTTTGCATTGCGTGTATTTTCTTGAAATACAGGAGAATTAGCAAACCCTATGATACATTAAGGAATACTGTTCCAACTAATGCTTATAGTTTCTTCATCAATTATCCACCCATGTTCAGTAGGATTAGGGAAATTTATTATGTTTTTGAAACACTAAGAACAAATGCATACTTGATAGTTCACTGTTTCAGTATGGTTCACTAAGGTATCATAATTAGGTGATATAGCAAATTGGTCGAAACAATTTTTCCCCTTGTCCTATTAGGAATTATAATGATGGCTAAGAGTTTTAAAACCTTCTAACATTGCGTAATTTGTCAAAAAAAGAAAAAAAAACTGCATTTATTTACATTTTTAGAACAAAAAATTCAAATTTCTGTTTTTCCAGCATTAATTTTTTGTAGCTATTTTTTTCCTTTTGCTTCGAATATTTTCTTGTCTGTTTAATATACTTACAATAAAATAATTGAAAAAAAGTGATATTTTTAAATGTATATAATAACTCCAGGTGTGCTTAAACTTTTGTGTGGCACTATGTGTAAGTGAAGCAAACGATAAGTTACAGAGCAACATTCCATTTACAGGTCCAGCTAGCCTCGTGGAAGGTGATGTGAGTATGTCTTGCAATAGCAGGTATCCAGTACCCATTATGTCACAGTCAGCTTCTGTACCTAGTGATCTATTACTCGAGGAATGGCTGCAAGAAGTACTTCGGTATAACAACAAGGGAATCCAACTGGATTTTCAGTCCACGGAGGTGGTTGAGCCAGCATGTCGAGTTTTGGCAAGAGTGGCTGATCATGTAGGGGACATTTTTCTTATCTTTGATGAATGAATAAAAACTCGCCACGTTTATTTTGGTTTTTGCAAAAATGGCTGTTTATTCTATGTCAAAACAATAATTTGTAACTTCTGCTAACTGATAACTTTACTTTTGACTTATAATCTAAAATTATATTCCGTGCATATTGTTTTAAAGAAAAACAGTTATTATAAGAAGGGTTTCTCTTTGATTCTATTTGAATCTTTAAACCAAATGCTAAAAAACTTATGATTTTTTATATCAATGAATTTTTTTCGGGATATAGTATACAAAATACTCATCAAGCAAAGTTTTCAAAAGACTGAGATATGTCTTAAGGGAATGCTCTGCAGCGCTTAGAGGCATTTTTTTTAAAAAATAAAATCCCTCTACGTTGCCTTACAAATAAAAATAATTTACTATTTTTCATATGTACTCCATCTTTGTTAAGCAACGAACTTTTGTCTGAGAAGAAATTTTTCTCAAACACAATAGAGTGTTCCTCTTCACCATGGTTCACTAAAAACGTTAAAAGCCATAAATTGAACTTGCTTCCTTACGAAAGTATTCTACAAGCTAACTACTAAAGAATTTTAAGTTCGAAAAAATAATTTAGAAAACGCACTTTTGAAAGTGCTTTAAGCGGAAGTATGGATCTTCTGATCTAGGACATCTGTTTCTTTATTGGTGATACATAATTGCCATAAATATTGCTTTTCAGTTTCGCATATAAACTCTGAAAATTATGTTTAGTGTAGTTCATCCTCTCCACTCCTGCAACATTCCATTTTAAATATATTTTTTCTTTTTAAATCAGTGATTACATTTAACACTTTGACCAAAATATTCTATTTCGCTTAAGATATTGTTAATGGACTCGCTGGTTCAAAACAGGAATTCGATGTAATGTATAACACACATGATGTTGCTTACTGTCAGCGTATCTAGAAGTTTTTTGTAATTTGTATTGTTTTTTTGATCTTACAGCTACGTGGTCCGATTATTCTGAATGCTGATATTCAACTCGGACCCCACAGCTCTTCGAATGTGCCAGTGGACTCATGGACGTTCCTCACTCTATGCCGAACTCGATTTCCGCGGTCAATCATATCTATTGGGTGGACAACAGATATATTGCCATCTACCTATCTTAAAATAGGGTGAGAACTTGAAGAATCCTATAATATTTTAAGATTTTGTTTAGTATTAAAGTTATTTGAAATACTTTCCATAAAGCATGTATGATGTTTTCTTAAAAGTGTTAATATTTTGTTAGTATTCATTAATAGAAAATATTTTTACCGTTTTTATATCTCTCAAACAAAGTTAGTTTCATGAAGGTACAACTGAAATTCTATTATCTATATTATTGTTTAAGTAATAAATCGGGTTTTTAAAATAACGAGCGATTAATAATAACGTTTTTTGATGCATGTGATGAATAAATGTGTTTTCGAATGTTGTAATCGTGGATATTGTAATGAATAGTTATTCCAAAAGTGATGTTCTTAGCTATTTACAAAGCATAAAATTTATACTTTTTAAATTCAAACATTAACCTTCGGCTTGTAACAATCTTCCAAATTATGTTAAAAGATTCAGCACACACAAGAAAAAATGTTAAAGTTTCTCTACGTAACAAGACTTAACACGCTGATTTAACCTTTTGCTTATGGTGTATCATCTGTACCATCACATGTGGTCCATATGGTGTACCCGCCTTAAGCAAAAGTTTAATATTATTTTGAAATTAACATAACAAGTGTTGTAATCTGATATTTACTAGATAGCAAAATTTGATCGGTGCAAACAAATTACACACAGTTATTAAACATATAACATATTGATGTATGCATTTTTAATGCTCTGTCAATAGATCAAAACTGTTTAAAATTAAAAAAAAAAAAGAAAAATATTTTAAAACTTGAAACTAAAACTATTGTTTGCATAAAATGTTGGGAATATATTTGAATAATTTGAAAAAGGAAATCCTCATTTATTGTGTTGTTTTAAGGTCTATAATTAGAAAAAAAACTCTGAGAATCTCAAATCTAAATCTTATCACTCACAAATTTTAAGTTATGTACATTAAAAGTATAAAATTTCGAATGTTGTTGCACAGGATTAGGAATAAACTTGCTGAGCACTATGATTCAACCGTGAGTGTTGCAAATTTGTTCCATATTATGGACCATTATACATCAATATTTCTTAACAGAGATCTGCAAGAAACTTCAAAATTTCATAAACATTATTTGTAAATCTCGTCAATGTAAGTTATTCCTGATAACGCTCTACTTCATTCTGTAATAGGTATACCCGAGAACATGTTGATCGGATGATAGCTTTGGTGAAAGAGTACACACTGATGCAGCCTGTTATGTTTCCTGTCCATGCATCGCTCCTCAAGTATTCTATACCAGAAATGCAGAGATTGTTATTTCAAGTTCCTAATAGCTCGCTCTGTGTCTGGTCTACTAAAGCCAATCCCATCGAGTCCATAGACGAGTTGCTGGCCATCCGGAAATCCTTCAACATAGGGCAGGTTTTCTACAAACTGCCGGACGAGCAGTTAGAATGCTTCTTCTCCAACACTTAAAGGAATTCAGTCTGTTTTTACATCCACAAAACCTTATTGACATTGTTTTATAAATGACTCTCATATTTAATAGAGTTCGATTTATGTGTTTTGAGTCTTCGGTAACACTAGAAAGACGGAAGGAGGCAAAATTGTCACTTTTCAAGCTTTTGTGGAATTCACAAATATTGATAGACTTTTCCTTTTTGATTATTAGGTGTATTAACATACAGGGTTATTCATAATTCCCTCCGCCAGTAAACGGCATTTTTCTTTACTACAACTGGCTTCAGTGGTACATGTTACTGCCATCTACCGGCAACTGCTTAAATTAAAACTTGAATACTTTTGGAATAATTTCATATGTTCTTTTTTGCCATATTCGTCTTCGTTTTTTTACTATAACGCTTCGAAACCCCGGAGGGAATTATGAATAACCCTGTATACCTAACAATAAAAATAATGATGCAAGTCTATCATTGTTTGTAAATCTCTTCAACGTTAAAAATTGGCTATTTTGCCCCTTCTCCATTCTAGCTTTAATCTATCATGTGGCTTGCAATTGATTTATTTTTTTCTTGTATTGTATTTTTTCTTCTTCTCGATTTTAAGCTCTCATTTAAATTTAGATTTAAAGTTGCATTCTTTTATGAATCAAATTAAATATTTTTGTAAATTAATTTAATTCTTTAGAAAATTTTAAGCAATATGAAAATAAAATGCTACTTTTTTTTATCCAAGATTAAAATTTGAACAGTGCCGAAAAAAAAGGACAACCTTTTTTGATTTTTGATCTAGGAATCGGGGATGGAGGTTCTTAATAATTTAAGATCGTAATGATTTGAGCAGCTACCTTAAATATGTTAATTAACTTGTGTCAGCGATATTAAGTTACAAAAAATATACAAAGACATATTTTTTTTTTACAATAAATGTACCTTTTCTTTGATGAATTCGTATATTTGCCCCTCAAATAAAAAAAAAAAAAATGGGGGTCCATTTGAAAAATATGGTGTTTATAGAATATTGTTAGGATAGGGGTTTAGTCCTCCTAGTATGAAATTCACTTTTAGCTAATTTCGCCTCATCTCTTTAACTATTTAAGCGAGTCAAAAAAATTAATATAATTAAAATGATATAATTAAAATAATATGATTAAAATAATATAATAATTTAATATAATTATAAAATTCGGTTATTCAAAGTTTCATGCAAAATATAATTTAATATAATCTTATTATAATATTATATAATATTATTTTGTTACCGTTATTTATTTTTATTTTATACACTGTAGAGGTAAAATATTTGTTCTATACAATAATGTTTTTTTGTCCACAAAATATTTAGTTTTTAAAAATACTTATTTTAAAATAAAGAGTTTATATTAACCCTTCAAGTAAATCTTAAAACACATTAAATCATGTATGATTTTTAGTTATTAATTTTAAAAAGTATAATATTACAATCATAATAAAATAGTTTTGATTACAACAAACAGTATTGATTCTAATTCAATTATTTCTCAGTACTATAAATGTTAGTTAAAATAAGCATTGTGCAAGTATTATAAAATCATACAAAATGATCATTTTCAATGGAAAGATACAAAAAAACAAATAATTATTTTTGTGAAAATATCAGGATTAAATACTGTTTCTACTAAAGCATATCCTCAAGGAAAAAGTTCAATTAGTTTAATATTAAAATTTACTTGTAAATGGATGCATTTCTTAATAATAAACATGACTACATGAGTAAAGTTCTATGTGAAACCTATTGAAATTTAGGTTAGGCTTCCACAGAGATTTAATGAAAAAAAATGTTGAATTTCAAAAAAAAAAAAAAGAAAATATGCGAATTAATTATTGTGTTTTTTTCAAGTTTAAATGTGCCATGCAAAATCCATTAAAGTGAACATTTAAGGATTATGGAAAATTCGTTTATGTATTTCTTTAAACAGTGCGACATTCATTTAAAAAAAAAAACCGAAGCGGATTTTATTTTAAACGAAAATTAAATTTTCACGAGAGTTGTTTAGAACCTATTATTTACGAGCAATTGCGAGCAAAAAATACTTCAGTAAATATAAATTTTATTACATCACGACGAAAGTTAATTATTTTGGAAACATTAATAACAAATAACAATCATAAATAATAACATTTTGGGAGGTTAAATAATATTGTAAATCTTGAAAGCAATTATTAAATAAATTACAGTTTTATTACTTACCTAATTTTAATCAAAAATTATAACGAAATATGGTAAATTATATATTTTTTTAAAAATATAATATCATATTATTTACTAACTACAATATGTTAATTGTAAATTTTTTTTTTTGGATTTTAGTCTTATAAAATTTAATCTAGGCATAGAACATGTATTTTTAAGTTTGAAATAAAAATGCATTCAGCAATTAACTTTTACCTCAGATTCATTACATTATTATTACATGCAATTAATTCACTACATTATTATGTGCAATTAATTCATTACATTATTATTACATGCAATTATTACACACAACTATATTAATTCATTAAATGCAATTTCTTTCTATTTTAATTTTGTCAATTATTATAAAGAGAAAAATATTTTATCCTTTAAAAACTTTCTGTTTCAGACATTCTTCTGATTTCGCAATTCGCAACTGTTAATTTTTAGTTGTATTTTATGCATTTTAACCTTTCTTTTGTTGATAATTGCAAAAAATATTTTTTTAAATTGAATGTTTCTAACAGTTAGAATTGCATTTATTACAGCAATAGTTGTTTTTATTTAAGTCTAATTGCAAGTCACTGATATTGTAGCAATAAAAATATTATGCTATTAAATAATTGCACGAATTAAATTGTATCGATATTTTAAATCCTTAAAATTCAAAACTGTGAGGCATACGTTTATAAATTTTTAATTAAACTGGTCTTATTACTGGTCTTTTGCTATAAGAAATCTGCATAGAAGAATCTGTATATAATATTGAATACATAAAAAATATTTGTCGAAAACTAGTTATTTTAGAATTTTTGTTAAAGTAATTCTTAGTTATTATATATTTTACAATTTCAAAATTGTTAGTTTTTGTTTATACAGATATATGTTTTGTTACAAAATGATTCGTTATAAATAGCATTATAATATTCACCAAGTTATGTATTTCGTAATATTTGATAAAAAAAAATGTGCACGTTTTGTTTATGTGTGGTAAGTTGAATATATAACCTCTTGATACAATAAATTTATTACGTGTCTTAAAAAGAATGAAATATAGAAAAATGAAATGGTTATTGTAAATATATACAATTATAAGACATAAAATAACAGTTTAATTAAAAATTAAATAAATTGTTTATTAACTATAAGTTGTTCGTTGTTTATTAAGTAAAGTTAAATTAAAGTTGGAGAAAAAACTGTAATTTAAAATTACTAATCAATAGTTTGCTTAAAAAATAAATGTATAGATATATTAATTATCAAAAGGTTTATTAAAAATACCTAGAATAAAGAGAAAAAAACAACAATATTTTAAATGTAAATAAAGGAAAACTACTTTTTGTCCAAACATAACAGTACGTAAAATAGATTTTAAAAAACAGCATTGAAAAAACTGGAGTATGATTTTTAATAATGTAGAAGTTTAAGAAAAAGAGTTGGTTGCAAAAAAAAAAATTATTAAAAATGAATGATATTTTCATCAGAAAGATTAAGTTACTTTTTTTTAAAGCATTAGAGAGAATTATAGAATAAATAATCAAAAAAACTGCCAGATTTTGAATTTTTTATTCAGATTTTTAGAAGTTTTGCGATATCTTTATCTTTAATTATAGTTTAATACTTTTATATCTAATCTTTTATCTTTAATTGTAGTTTTAAAACCGAGAAAGCTTTGTTTACGTAACCTGAAAAATGATATTAATAAGTAGGAATTATAAAAAAAAGTATTTGTAACTAATAAAAGAGGAAAACACACCTTTAAACTTTCTCAAAAAAAATTTATTCTTTCATATTAGTACAGCCTTTGAAATTTATGTAGATACATTTATTTCGGTTTAACGAAAAATGATTTTTCTACAGCTTGAGTTGTTTTAAAATAAATCAATTGTAGCAGATTTAATTATTTAAAATATTGCTGTGAAACTGACATGCTTTAAATCTTTGATTAACCGACTTATATAAACAGCTTTTGAAAAATAAATGTCTTATGGTAAAAATTTAATAGTTAAGTTTTATTTTAGCAGATTAAATACTTTTAAAAATTTATCAATTCAAAATTTTTAAAAAAACTGCTATGAAATTAACGTGTATAAAAGCTTTGATTATCCGGTAAATTTAATCCACATACGATTAACCGGCTTATGTAAACAGTTCTTGAAAAATAAATGTTGTCTTCATAAATTGAATAGTTAAGTTTTATTTTAGTACTAAATAGTTTTAAACATTTATCAATTCAACATATTTAGTCATTAAAGTTTTTTTTATGAAATTTACGTGAAAAAAATTCGTTGACCATCCGGTAAATTTAATCCACATAATGTTCGATGGCTGAGTTTTCATTATGATATGTATTAGTTAGTTATAAATAAAAGCAACCTTTTTTTAAGAAATTTTACGATGTGTTTAACTGGTTGATGTGTTTTCTTATTGCGTAATATTAAGTAGTAATGATACAAATAATAGTTAGTGTAGTTAAGATATCACAATTAGTACTCTCCCTGTTCATTAATACTATTATTGTTCTGTTGATGATGTATACTGTTGATGATGTACACTAATAATGTATCTGTATACTTTTGAATCCTTCATTGTTTATAGTGTGTGATTAGCTTATTGATTATATTCAACAATGTGTGATTTTATGTGCCTTTAACTATTACTGCAGCCGGGCATGGATATAGATGTTCCACGCTTATATATGTGCTATTTGTATTTTGCAAAAAATATTTTATAGTATGTAAATATTACGTTTGTACATTTTAGTGTGTAAAGACGGATAGGTCTGAATCATTTTTTTTTGGAACAGGTTTGTTATATGTCTGGTGTTTCGGTGCTAATCGACGCAAACAAATTTTATCAGGATAATTTAACTTGAATTATAAACTAGATCAAAAAGATATTGAAAAGTTGGATTTTATCGAGAAAAAAGAACACATTTTTAAACTACTTACAGTTTAAAAAGAAAAACAATATGTAATTGTACTAGGCTTTTATCGGATATATAAACCATGAGTTTTTCGAGTTGTCGCCGACATGAAATTTTTTCCCTATGACTACTTAGTACCGAATTTGATTATCGCGATGCATCGTCGAAAAATATCGATATTTAACAATATAT